GCCCACTCCCAGGGCTGCACCTAACTGGGTGCTCCCCCGGGATAAAGACAGCCCCTCCCCTGCGCTATCACTCAGCGAGGCCCTTCCTCTCGCACCCCCGGCCCCCGCAGTCTCCTCAGCCCTGCGCACCACTCACCAGCTTTGACTTCATTCAGACAGTCTTCTGTCACGATGTTCTCCATACAGGGGACCAGGTACCCTGGAGCAGAATGCAAGAGGTGAGCGTTTCCACCGTCCGCCTCCGACGCCACCCCACTGCCAGACCACACCTCCTCAGAGAAGCTCGTCCCACCCTCCCCCCGCCCCCAAACCAAGAAAGACTGGACATCAGGACTCCGTTTGGACCCTGAGGCCGATTCCCACAGAGGGGTCCTAGGAGACGTGGCTGCCCGCACAGGCACCAGGCTAAGGAGAGGCAGGGTCTGGGCTGCAGCGGACTTGGACCCACAGTGCAGCCCTGGGCAGGTCCTGTCCACAGCGGGGGCCTCGGCTGGGGTGTGGAGAGATGCTGCCTCTGCGTCCACTCGCCCCTGCAAAGCTTGAGAAGCACTCACATGAAAGACCCAGGGGGTCTGGGGCCCTGAGCACCTTGAACCCATCGGGGTGGCCGGGAGCAGAAGCCCCCAAGGGCAGAGTCGGCTGCCTGGGCCAAGGATGCCCTGTCTTTTGGAGACTCAACCTAGTCCACCAGGCTCCCCAGGAATCCTGCGCAGCCACACTGCTGAGACCCCGCCCAGCCCAAACCAGCCTGGCGCCTGCGGGAACTGTGCCACTCCTCATGGCCCCGCCCTTTAGCCCAGGCTGTCCCTTTGCCCCCCTGGCTAATTCCCATCGACCTGGAATGCCCTGATCAACCTCCTGACCAAAATGGACCAATCCATACTGACTCTGGATGGGTGCCTCCTGGTGCTCCTGAAGGACGGAGAGTCTCCCAGTATATCCGGTGTTCCTCCTATTTGTGATTTATGAATCTTCTCCTTCCCAGGAAAATAGGACCGGTGCCTTGCTTCTGAACATGAGCAAGGCCCTATGGACCACCGCCGACCATTGCTCACCTCCCTTGCTCTGCCCACCCCACCACCGGAATCTCTAATGGGACCACGGCTAGAGGAGGCCATCATGTGTGGTGAGGGCATGGGAGACCCTTGGGGAGGTGGACGGGCAGACTAGCCACCACGATGAACTCACGTTTGCTGGCAATTGTGACCAACATGGGGCAGTGTTTCGCTCTGTTGTACACGCCTCTGCCACACGTCAGTGCTGACACGTGGCGACTGTGTAGGAAGGGTAGAACTGCCCCGGGGTGTTCCCGAGACTGCAACTCCTTCCGGGAGTAGAAAGTCTCATCTTTCTCCCCAATGTCAGGTAGGCAGTCGGGCCCGTGAGCGTGGGGTTCAGAGAGTATCTGGGCTGGGCATCTCACATTCACTCACTGCCACTGGGTTGATTCCAACACATTGCCACCCAGTAGGATGGGGCAGAACTGCCCTTACGGGTTTCTGAGGCTGTAACTCTTTAATGGGAGTAGAAAACCTCGTCTTTCTCCCATGGAGCGACTGGTGGCTTTGAACTACTGACGTTGTGGTTAGCAGCCTAACGAGTAGCTACTACGCCACCAGGGGTCCCTCCCACCAGACCAGAGACTTCTTCATCTGAGATCCACTGGAGGGGTAGGAGGCGTGTCTGTGCATCCTGAAGGCATGTGCAAAACTAAATTGTGCACATGTATGAAGAAACCAGTCCCCGGAGAAGGACAGCATGACGTCGAGGGACGGCGACAAAGAGGAAGCCCTCAACGAATGGGTTGACCCTGCGGCCCTAACAGAGCAAGAATTGTGAGGGCTGAAGCCTAACAACAATTGAGCGTTTTTCATCCTGTGGACACAGGGGCTACTGTGAGTCAGTTACTGCCTGGCTTCTAACACCACGGTCTTTAAAGCCTCGTAAGCTCAGAAAGGTTAAGAATCATTGCCCTGCACCGGAGTCCACCTGTGTCTCCCTGGCCGGGACAGACTCCTGGTGTGAAACCCATCAGTCACCCACCCGTGTTCGGAGTGACTCATTTGGAGCAAGGCTGAAAGAAAGCAGCACCGAGGATGAAGCCCTCATTGCCACGTTGGGCAGGCTGCCTGCAGGCCCGGGCATCCCTCCTCGGTCACAGCACTGCTCAGACCACACCAGCAGCTCCTGGTCTCTCTCGCTCCCCTCCCCCCTCTGTCAGCCGTCCTGTTTCTTTCACAGTAAGCACCCTGCCTACAGGTTATACGCTGGTCTGCGATCCTCAGGGTCGGCAGTTTGAAACCACCTGCCACGCCGAAGCTGAAAGGCTTTCTACTCCCACGAGAAGTTACAGTCCCAGAAGCCCAGGGGGGCAGTTCACCCCTGTGCTCGTGGGTCGCTGGGGGGCAGTATCGAGGACTGGGCATCCTGCCTGGCTGAGCGCTCTTGTCAATTGCTCCCTCGTGGACTCTGACTCACAACAACCCCGTGTGTTACGGAGGTTTTCTGGCTGTAATCGCCATGGAAAGAGCACTGGTGACCGAGTCAGGGAAGTGTTGGACTGCCAACCTCAAGGTCGGCGGTTCAAACCCATCAGCCACTCCACAGAAGAAAAAATGAGTCTGTCTGCTCCCGTAAAGATTGACAACCCCAGAAACCCTGCAGTGTAGGGTCACCATGAGCCAGGAGGGACCTGATGGCAGTGGGCTTGGTTTGATGCTGTTTATGGAAGCAGACTGCCAGCCAGGTCTTTCGTTTCTTGGTGGGCATCTGGGTTCAAACCGACAGCTTTCCTGTTGGCAGTCCAACCCAAAGCACGGGAGTGGGGGATCAGTAGAGATTCCTGAAGTAAGTCAACAGATGGATAGAGGGATGTACTGGTGAGAGCAGAAGAACTGGCGAGAGGGGCTAAAACCAACAAGCATTGCTTTCACAAGGGGAGATGGGTGGGCGCTTCATCATCTCCAAGCCCCTTGGCAGCGGCGTCTCCTGGTCCTTGGCAGAAAGAATGAGGTTGTTTAGAAGCACACAGCTGAGAGGAGGCCCACTCACCCAGCATGGCATCAGAAGAGTCCTGTGGGTGGGTGGCGGGGCAGTGGGGTTCTGGGCAAGGGGAACCTGTTGTTGGGTTCTTTCCAGAAAGGGAAAAGGTGGGATTATGGAGAATCGAAAAATGAAAGTGACTAATGTTTGAATACTTCGATATGCCAAGTTTCAAGGCTGGGACCTTTCAAAATATATCATCATTCAGTCTGTAAAACAGGACAGGATCCCCATATTACAGATGAGGAAACCGAAGCTCAGTGGGAATAAATAATTCCATTGGGGCCACCAGAGAGGGGATGGTGGAACTTTGAGTCTACTTGACCTTTTCTACCATGAAGCTCGGCCTTTCCTACTGAAGCCAATGGTGAATTTGGCTGGGCTCCTGTTAAGCCTGGGCCCATAGTGTACTGCAGGAGGAGAAGCAGCAGTTCTGCTGGTTAATCTCGGACCTGTGTCATCACTTCATCCAGGCATGGCCTGCACAAGGACTCCATGCTCAATCTGGTTCACAGCCGACGTGCTGTGTTCTAAGAGGAGAGGATCTCTCTAATGTGCACCATGGTGCTATCTGCTGGCCAACCCTTGGCCCTAAAGGGAGTCATTCTATCAGGTGCTAGAAGGGCTGGCAACCTGGTAGGTGTTGAATCAGAGACAGCTAGGGCCTTGGCAGCAGAGCTCGGTGTACCAGGGTGGGCAGCTTACCTATGAACATGACCGAGGCCTTCCGGAGGGAGGCCCGGGAGCTCTTGGTGAATTCCAGGCTCTGGCTGAGGAACTTGAAGGCACTGTCTTGATGGGTGTTCACCTGGGTCAAAAAGAAACCCAAGAAGCCTTGGCCTTCAGAGGGACTAGTTACCCAGCCAGCCCTCATGAGGCTAGGAATGGTGACCCTGACAGGCGGCCATGCCTGGGACTCCTGGCTCCTAAACATTTCTGCCTCCCCTCATCTGCCCAAGCCCTCCCAGAGGCCAAGCCTCTTCTCCTCTTAGCTGACAGCAACAATTGCTTCAAAGGTCCTCTCGCTGTCCAATCCACCCGGCTGCTGCTGCTGCTGCTGGAAAGCTCTCACATGCAAATCCAGCAAGAGGTGGGGATAGATATGGCACGTGAGAGACCTAGTAGGTTAGGAGACAGGTGTGATCAGGGTGAAAGATTCAAGTTACAGAGCCGTGAAGGAATACATTGGATGGCCAGAGGGCCTGATGGTGCTTAGCCATCCGGCAGGAACAAGACTTCCTTATGTGTTTGTTAGTAACTAGGAAGCCAGTATTCTTGATAGAGCAGTGACAGAGTGGTGTTTGGGCCAAAGTGTGGTGTTCAGGATGGGTTTGATCAAGTAGAAACTGGGGGCAGGGGGCAAGTATTCAGCTGAGAATCTGTTGCAGGAAGTGAAGAGAAATCTGATCTGATCCCTGTTTGGCTGACGCCCCCTCCAAGCTAGAACAGTAACTTCTGGGCCTGGCATACGAAGAGCCCGATGGTCACTTTCTGGGTCTGACACGCCTTCCCAGCTTCCTCTTCCACCCCTGCCTCCTCCTTGTAGGCCTGCTAGGCTCTAGTCCAAGGGCATGGCCCAGGTACCCCCAGGCGGGCCAGCTCCTTGACACCTGTGGCCTTTGAACATGTGAATGCACCTGTTTGTGATGACCACCCCTCTCTTCTTTGCTTGACAAGTTCTCTCATCCTTTGAGGCTCAGCTCAGAAGCCAGCTCCTGGAAGCCCTCCACAGCCCTCAAGCAGAGCTCACCTCATCACCTTGAGATGTCCACAGCATCTTGTGCATCCTGTGTCATGGTAGTCATGGCACTGGGTTGTCATTGTACACACCCGGTCCTCCCCTGCTGCTCCCCAAGAGAAAGAAGGGCGCTGTCTCACTCATCAGCTCAGAGGCCTCACCACCCTGCCAGGACCTCGAATGGATCAGGCAATGGAGGAACTGCGATACTGCACGAGGGAAGGGGTGGAAAGTTTACCAACCACTTTTTAATGCTAGGGCGAGAGGCTGACGTCACATAAGAAAAGCTGTCAATGGCCTGAAGCAAGAAGAAGCCAAGAATCCAGAGGGGTCATGACCTGGGGGGTCAGAGGCCTCTGCTTCCGCAACTCCACACGTAGCCTGGGAGAATGGTGACCAGTGCAGTGTTCCATTCACTGCTAATTCATATCTGACAGAAATCGGGTTTCCAGACTCACGGGACCCATTGTGACCGGAAGACCCTGACTCTATCGCCATGGTACTTTCTGTCACCTCATATCCATGTGAAAGTTGGCCATTGAATGAAGAATTGGCGCACTTGAATTCTGTTGCTGGTGAAGAATACTGAACGTACCATGGACGGCCAGATCTGTCTTAGTGGTACAGCCCGAATGCTCCTTAGAGGCAAGGGCGGGAAGACTTCATCTCACCCACTTCGGACATGTTGCCAGGAGACCGGCGCCTGGAGCAGGACACCCCGCGGAGGAGAGTGGAGGGGCAGCAAAAGGAGGAAGACGCTCCACAAGGGGAACTGGCACGGTGGCTGCAACCATGGCTCAAACTGAAGCCCCACTGTGCGGGCCGGGGCGGGCCACTGAAGCCCCACTGTGCAGGCCGGGCGGTGATTCTCTGCCCCTTCACGACTTCAACCACAACCACATCGCCCGAGATCATCTTTGAGCCTTGAACTAAGTCTGTCCCCTGAACCAAAGCCCAAACCAAACTCACTGGCCTGCGGTCCATTCGGACCCACAGCAACCCTGGAGGGCAGCGTCCACCTGCAAAATCGCATCTCTTTCCAGGAGGAGACATTCCTGTCCTTCTCCGGCGGAGTCCCTGGCGGTTTCAAACTGCTGGACTTGCAGTGAGCGGCCCACGGCGTAACCACGATCCCACGAAACTCCAAGAACCAAACTATTAGTGACTTGGACTCATACTGACCCTACAGGACAGGGTAGAGCTGCCCCTGGGGGTTTCTGAGCTTAACGCTTTCCAGGAGCAGAAAGCCTCTGCTGACCTTGCGGTTGGCAGCCCAGCGTGTGACCCCCAAGCCATCGTGACATGGACCACGTTTTTGCCCAACTAGTAAAGCAGGTTGGTCCCGAGCAGTGCACAGTTTGAAAGAATTATGGACGTGAGATGTAACGGACAACAGTTGACCCTCAGCCACAGAGGCGAAGTGGGGGTAGACCGATAGGGGCAGACGGTGAGTGTGCTGACCCGGTGCCACGAACAGAGTGGAGCCCACTGAGCCGTCTCTGTGGAGATGTGTCAAAGGGGTGTATATTTGTTATTCATATTTTCACCGAAAAGAACATGAAAAAAAAAAAAACCAAGCAGGCAAACGAAAAGCTTGGTTTCTAGCTTTTCTTTCCAATTGGAGGGGCTGGCATGAGTGGCCCACATGGGGACAGTAAACTGGGCTCTCCAACCCTGCTACTGACGGCTCTGGGCTCTCCAGCTTCCTCCAGGGCCCGGCACCCCCACTTCACTCACGGCTATCAGCTCCCAGCCACGGTGGGTTTTGAATTAGTGACTGTGGCCAACACTTCTTCCGGGCCTCGTTTCTTCCTCTGTCCAGTGATCATGAGACTAGACACTCCGCGGTCCCAGTTGTGAGCATTATCCATGCGCAGATGGTGGTGCCAGGGCCTGGTCTCAATCTTAATGATCATCATCTACTTTGTATGCTTCTGCTGCATGCCAGGAGGCCTTTGCCAGATCTCCCAGGTATGAAGCATGTGTGCCCGAAGCTTGGGAATGGCCTCGACCGAAGAGAACTACCTTGCCCGAGGTCAAACCTCTTCCCGGAGTAGCCAGCCTCCAGTGGCAGACGGGCATGAGGGGGAAAGACCAGGGCGCTGGAGCCCATCTGAGGGTTGGCCATCATAGGTTGGCCAAGATCTTCCAGAAATGACATCACAGCTCCACTTCTTTCTTGGCCACTCCTGCTTCCCTCGACAGGGGTTGGTTTCAAGGCCCTCCCTAAGAAACCTCCTACATGCTCACCTCTGTCCCAGAGTCAGCTTCCTAGGGAACCCAACTTATGTGCACAGGGAAGGTTGACTGGAACTAGACAGCAAAGTTCCCCAGAAGCCATCCTGAGACACTGTGGCTGTCTAGGGAGGCCACGTGCCACAAATGTGTTGCCCAGAGAGGGAGTGTGTGGATAGTGAGCACATTTCTTCAGTAGGAGACCTCCCAGAGCCTGAAGTGTGTGGCACTCATCTGCCCATGGCCGTTAAGTCATTTCCAACTCATAGTAACTCAAGTGCAATGATGTTACTAGTGTTGTAATCAGTGAGAGCCTAGTGCCTTGATACAGACAAAACATCTAGTGTAGATTCTCGAGCAGAACGAGAATTCCAGACCGCTTCGCTGTGCTCACACGAAACCTGTGCACGATCAAGAGGCAACTGTGCAAACAGAATAAGGAAATGCTGCATGCGTTGAGATCAGGGTTGTCTCCTCTCACCGTACTTATTCAAACTCTACGCTGAACAAGTAATCAGAGAAGCCGGCTTAGGTGAAGAACGTGCCATCAGGATTTAGGAAGGCTTATTAACAACCTTCAATATGCAGATGACACAACCTTGTTTGCTGGAGCGAGGTGGACTTTACAACTCCATGGAAAGAAAACTAAAATCCTCACAGCTGGACCAGATAGGTGACATCCTGGCAAACGGAGAAAAGACTGAAGCTGTCAAGGATTCCATCTTGCTTGGATCCACAATCGATGCTCAGGGAAGCAGCCGTCCAGAGATCAAAGATCATCGCACTGCATACATCTGCTGCACAAAGACATCTTTCAAGTGTTGAAAAGCGAGGATGTTTCTGTGAGGACTACGGTGTGCCTGCCCCAAACCATGGTCTTTTCAATGGCTTTACACACGTGAAAGCAAGAATAAGGAAGAGTGGAGAAGAACTGAAGCATTTGAACTACGGGGCTGGGAAGAATTTTGAAAGTACCATGGGTTGCCAAAAAACATAAAGGAATCCGACTTGGAAGAACAGCCAGCATGCCCCGGACAGGCAAGGATGGCGAGACGTTGTCTCATGTACTTAGGACATGCTATCGAGAGAGAGAGAGACCAGTCCCTGGAGAAGGACATCCTGGTTGGTAAAGTGGAGGGGCACCGAAAAAGAGGAAGGCCCGCAACAATTGATATAATGGCTGCAACAATGAGCTCACACCTGAGACCAACCGTGAGGCGGGTGCAGGGTGGAGTGGTAGTTTGCTCTACTGTGCACGGGTCGCCATGAGCAGGAACTAGCTCACCGGCTCCTAACAGCCCCAGCACGACAGGACGGTCAGGAGGCGCACTGGTGCTAGTCGTCCGATAGGCTGCTAACCACGAGGTCTGTAGCCGGACGCTACACGCAGCTCCGCAGGAAGGTGAGGCTCTCTACTTCCGAAACCCACAGGGGCAGGCTACTCTGTCCTGTGGGGTCATTATGAGCCAGAATCAGCTCCATGGCAGTGAGTGAGTATTGTAACTGGTGACAGAATACACAGAGTAGTCAGTTAAATTAAACGCTGGGAGACGATGGGATGGTTGGCCCCATGACCTACCTGAAAGATGTTCTTGGCCTGAACTATGATATGACTGTGGGACCTGAGAGGGAAAGGCAGACTCAAGCAATGTGTAGGATCGTTAAGATTTGAAGAACAATAAGAAATGGATGGTGGCAGGGGGCGGGGGGCAGGGAGTGGGGAAGGAAGCAATCTGGGCTGAGGCTAGGTTTCTGCTCTGTGAGTCCAGAGGGACAGAGCAGAACTGAAGTGGAAATGGTAAGTTCAGAAAAGACATGCTGCGTGGTTCACCCAGGGGGTGGTCCCAGGAAACATTAGGCACGGGAGAGAAGTCAGAGATGCGGCTAGACCTCCAGCAGCCGGCCACTGGTGGGTGGTACCAGAAATAGTCAGACGGATGCTTGTGTAACCGGAAGACAAAGTAGAGCCCCCTCCAACGGCAACCATCAGCCACTGTCAACAGGAAAGCACTCACAAGGTACTTGCAGATTTTGGCCACTGTCTTCTGGCGGTTGTCCCAGGGCTTCCGGCTGTAAGCTGTTTTGGGCAAATCCCAGCCCATGAAGCAGGAACATCGGAACAGCGTCTTCACACATTTCTGGGGGCCAATGGGAATGGAAGAGAGCTGTGGGGCCCCAAGGCAGCAGATGATGGTGGGGAAGGGGAGTGTGTGAAAACTAAATTTTGGAAAAGAATTCCTATTTGAAATGTACAATGGCTGTTTGGAGGAGTGAGTACCTTAGGAGTACAGACCACGAATTAATTGTCTCCTCCCCACCCCTGCCCAGTGAACTGTGTCTTGATGACTCTTGGTTGGTTTGGTTTCTATAGAGAGTGTCCCCAATGGCCCCAGGTGGTGGGGTGGAAGGCAGTGCCCAGGCCCAGTGCTCACTCACCTGGCTCACCTCGGAGTTGCCCTCCTGCATGACCAGCAGTATGGGGACCAAGGTGCTGATCAGTTGCTCCTCCATGTCTGGGCTGCGTGGGGACCGCAGCTTCTGCACCACCTTCCCGTACAGGTTGATGCATGAGCAGCGCACATCCTCCCGCGACTGGGGCACAAAGGCGGACTCAGGGGGTGCCCCTCCTCTGGGAGGCTGCCCATGCCTGTCCTCTCCACCTACCCGGGGCACCAGGGCATTCCTTTCCTCATTCTGGGGGGTCTTCCAGGCACAGAGACAGCTGAGGCCACCAGCAGGGCTGAGCCGGTACCAGCCACCCCCTCCTGAGAGCCTAGATCTGAAGTGCTCCCCACTATTCCCAGTCAAGGCCCCCAGTAACCCAAAAGGTGACTTAGTGATCCATGGGAAAATGCACACTTGTGGCCAATAAAAATAATGTGCCCAGTGTAGGCGATCAGTCGCAGAAAGGGGAGAATCTATTTCAAAAGAAGAGATAGAGTCGGCTAGAATCAATTAGAGAAAGAGATGGTCTCTGGGTTGATGAGCGAGCGTGTAAAGGACCGTCTCTGGGAGAAACATTTTTAAAGATGAGGACCGTTCCTGGGAGAACCAATTAGGAAAAAAAAGAGCCGGCTCTGGATTGGGAAGAACCAATCAGAAAAAGAGGCCTTCTCTGGAAGAACCAATGAAAAAAAAAAAGGACCAATTCTGGGAGAACCAATTAGGACAGGGACCTTCTCTGAGCGAACCAATCACAACAAGATCAGACCATTTGAAGCAAGGCGCCTCTTCCTCAGGCTGACTCCGCCCTTCCCAAGTCCCAGGGTTATGCGCTGGGGTAGTGGGAGATCTTGCAGCCCCAAGTCGTGCAGAGCTGCGCTCCATGCGCAACCACCTCCCCCCCTCCCCCCCGCTTTGTCAGAGAGACTCCTTACGTCACTAAAGTGAGGCATCAGGACCTGCAGCAACTCCACGTTGACCGAGGAGTCAAACAGCTTCAGGTCTTGCCCCTTGAAGATGCTTTTGATGTTGTGCATGGCCTCCACCACCAGTTGCCCATCCACGTTCTGCAGGCCCTTCACCATGGCGGGCAGGAGGGCCTGCACCTTGGCTGTCTGTGGGGTAGGGGTGTCTGGGATAGGCTCACAGGTGGGAGACCCAGCCTCTGATCCACTGAGATGAAGTCGATGAACAAGCTGCCACCGTCGATGCCATCCTACCTGCTGTGGGCCCTGTCTCGAGAGCTCTGGCTGCTCCCTGAAGGCCTCTCTGACCTCCACTGGTGACTCCTTCCTGATTGGGGTGCTCAAGGTCCCCTGCACCCAGAGGCCTCCCGTTGCACCGTCCCTGTATCAATGATCTCTCTGGGCCCGGAGCCCGCCCCTTCCTCCTGGCTACCCTGTGAGCTGTACTAGTGCCCATGGTAGGGGAAAACAAAGCTATTTAAATGTTCAGCATGCACCTACAGTCTGGACCTTGGCTTCCTCGTTTGTAAAACAAGAACCGTCACTGCCACCTCTGCCCCTCCTGGGAGACCTGTAGCAAAGCAGGTTAAGTGAGGGGTTCTGGTCCACCAGCAGCTGCATGGGAGGAGGAGGGGGAAGACGCCCGCTTCTGTTCAGACATGCGGCCTTGTTAGCCTTGTGGGCACTTCTCCTCTGACTTAGAGGGTTGCTGAGTCAGAATCAACTGGAAAGTGGTGGGTATTTTGGGGGGGGAGGGC